GGACTCGATCCCAGGTCTCCAGGATAGCGCCCTGGGCCAAAGGCAGGCGCTAAACCACTGCGCCACCCAGGATCCCCGATTTTTATGATGTTGACCAGTTATAACTGTTTGACTGTGAAGCAGGTCCATGGAACTCCTGACAAAGATGCTCCTTGACCAAATTTTAGACAGGCTTTTCTGAGGCCCCTCTTCAAAAAGTACTTGTCCTTAGGCCCTGTCCTTGGCCGCTGAAAATAGTCTTAGCAAAAAGTCCTGCTAACCCAAGCCCCTACCCTTGAGATCCGAACACCTTTGATATCTCATCGAGTTCCTCCTCTCCCATCTTAATACCTGGTCACCTTGGCCTGTATTGTTAAGTATTTTGGCCTGTTAAGTATTTTGTGAAGTCAGTTTACCAAGAACCTGCCTACCCTGACTACTACCTAGTAATACTCCATCCATTGACCCCCTCACTCTGCTTCTTAGCTCTATAGTCCATTTGTCCTTATTGTATTTGGAATTGAACTCAATCCTATACAGAAGCCTCCCTCCCATTTGTAATAGCACTGGATAAAATCTCCCTTTACTACTTTTTTTTTAAGATGTATTTATTTTAGAGAGAGAGCAGGAGGAGGGACAGAAGGAGAGGGTGAAGGAGAGAATCTCCAGCAGATTCCCTGCTAAGTGCAGAGCCAGACACGGGGCTTGATGCCAGAACCCTGAGATCATGATCAAGAGTCAGATGCTTAACCAACTGAGCCATCCAGGCATCCCCTCCCTTTACTACTTTTAACTAGCACTCATCTGTTTCTCTTTAACACTGCTCACACTGACATTCCAGAAGTGAATCCCCACATAACAGTTTTCTAACACAGTTTTCCAGAATGACTGCACCAGTTTGATTCCCATCAACAGTTCAAGAGGGTTCCCCTTTTCCACATCCTTGCCATATCTGTTGTTTCTTGAGTTGTTAACTTTTGCCATTCCGACAGGTATGAGGTGATATGTCATTGTAGTTTTGATTTGTATTTCCCTAATGATAAGTGATGTTGAGCATCTTTTCATGTGTCTATTAGCTATCTGGATGTCTTCTTTGGAAAAATATCTATTCATGTTTCCTGCCTATTTTTTAATTAGATTATTTGTTTTGGGGGTGTTGAATTTAATAAGTTCTTTATGTATTTTGGATACTAGCCGTTTATCAAGGATGTCATTTGCAAATATCTTTCCCTATTCCATATACTGCCTTTTAGTTTTATTGATTGCTTCCTTCACTGTGAAGAGGCTTTTTATTTTGATGAAGTCCCAAAAGCTCATTTTTGCTTTTGTTTCCTTTGCCTCAGGACACATATCTAAAAAGAGTTGATATGGCCTGTGTCAGAGGTTACTGCCTGTGTTCTCCTCTAAGATTTTTATGGTTTCACATTTAGGTCTTTAATCTGTTTTGAATTTATTTTTGTGTATGGTAAAAGAAAGTGGCCCCATTTCATTCTTTTGCATGTTCCTGTCCAGTTTTCCCAACACCATTTGTTGAAGAAACATTTTCCCATTGGTTATTCTTTCCTGCTTTGTCAAAGATTAATAGATCATAGAATTGTGGGTTCATTTCTGGATTTTCTATTCTGTTCCAGTACCACACTCTTTTGATTACTACAGCTCTGTAATATAACTTGAAGTTGGGAATTGTGAAGTCTCTAGCTTTGCTTTGCTTTTTCAAGATTGCTTTGGCCCTTCATAGTCTTTTGTGGTTCCATACAAATTTTAGGATTGTTTGTTCTAGCTCTGTGAAAAACATGGGTGGTATTTTGATAGGAATTCCATTAGATGTGTAGATTCCTTTGGGTGATAGTATAGATATTTTAACAATATTTGTTCTTCCAATCCATAAGCATGGAATGTCTTTCCATTTCTTTGTGTCATCTTGAATTTGTTTCATCAGCATTTTATAGTTTTCAGGATACAGGTCTTTTACCCATTTGACTAAGTTTATTCCTAAGTTTATTCCTAGGTATCTTACTATTTTGGGTGCAATTGTAAATGGGAGTGTTTTCCTAATTTCTCTTTCTGCTGCTTTGTTACTGGTATACAGAAATGCAACAGATTTCTGTACATTGATTTTATATCCTGTGACTCTACCAAATTCATTTATCAGTTCTAGAAGTTTTGGGTGGAGTCTTTAGGGTTTTCTAAATATAGTATCATGTAATCAGCACACAGTGAAAATTTTATTTCTTCCTTACCAATTTGAATTCCTTTTCTTTCTTTTTCTTGATTGCTATGGCAAGGCTTGTGATTTTAAAGTTCCCGAAATTTTGCATACCTATTGCTATTATCTCTATAACTTCTGTACAAGTCTCTTACCAGTGTTTTCAGCACACTGTCAGCTACCAAAGGCATGAGCATACAGCTGAATTCATGTTAATGTTTTGGTCTGCATCAAAGCGGGGGATAAAAATGGATAAAAATATACCAAGGGTCTGAGGCTTGCCTATGCATGTGGCACAATTCCAGTTCTTCAAGATCCTAGGCTATATACATCTTATAGCTAGCTCTGGCTCTGCATCCTCTCATACATGCTCATAATCTAAGGTAGTCATAGGGGATAAAAGTAGAAGCATGAACCCGTAGAACTCATCACAATTCCTTGCCATTCCATTGGCAAGATGTAAGAAGCTTAGAAGAACAACTGAGGGACATTCATTCTATGAGGCTAAAGGAGACGGCCAAGTAGTAATATCTCTCTATCACTCCCTAATTCATGAAAGGACTCCTCCTTCTTCTCTGACTTTGGAATAGGCCCAGGTCACCAGAATATGATGGAATGAGGGTGGAAGTTGGAGAGAATAAGCCTAGTGTTGTCATTACACTTTTTCTGGTAAGCATCACAAATGCTTTATATCACTGCCATAAGATCCAAGCAGGACCAAAATCCAACATGATGTGTAAGGGGATTTGCTTTATCAAACAATTCCAATTTTTGAAATCTATACTACTGAGCTACTTTCACATATATATAAAGATGGTCAAAATAATATTCAATGAAACATTTCTGAAAGACCAAAAATTGGAAACAACCAAAGTGTCCATCAATAGGAAAAAGGATAAATAAATTTAGTGGGGCCATATGATAGAATACTATGATTAAGATTAATATGAGCAGATGCCCAAAGCATATTGCTAAGTTTCAGAACAATATGCATAGAACCATTACTTTAATGAAGGAAGGAAGATTAGAAGGAAGGAATGACTGATGAACAGAAGGAAGGAGTGATGGATGGAAGGAAGGAAAGAAGGAAGGGAAGGAAGAGAGGAAGGGAGAGAAGAAGGAAGAAATGAAGGGAAGCAGGGAAGGAGGGAGGAAGGAAGAGAGGAAATTGTGTACTTAGAGGTATCTATCTTTAGGCACATAAACATATAGGAAAATTTCTGGATGAAACTCTTAACAGCGGATGTTTCTCTGTGAAAAATTAAAATAAGAGTGGTGGTGGAGAGGCAAAAAAGAAAAGCTTTAATATTTTATTAGCTTCTACGTTGTTTGAATATCCTACTCATTAAAAATAGGATAGAGGGCGCCTGGGTGGCTCAATAGGTTGAGTGACCAACTGACTCATGGTTTTAGTTCAGGTCATTATCTCATGATCTCATGGATCATGAGATCAAACCTTGTACAGGTCTCTGAGCCAAGAAGGGAGTCTGCTTGAGATTGTCTCTCTCCCTCTCTTTCTGCTCTTCCCCCCGCTTGCACATGCTCTCTCTCTCAAATAAATAAATAAAATCCTTTTTAAAAGTTAAAAAAAAGGGGGGGGGACGCCTGGGTGACTCAGCGGTTAAACATCCACCTTCGGCTCAGGGCGTGATCCTGGAGTCGTGGGATTGAGTCCCACATTGGGCTCACTGCATGGAGCCTGCTTCTCCCTCTGCCTATGTCTCTGCCTCTCTCTCTCTCTCTCTCTCTCTGTGTGTGTGTGTGTGTGTCTCTCACGAGTAAATAAATAAAATCTTTTTTTAAAAAAAGTTAAAAGAATCTTTTTTAAAATAATAATAGAAAAGAAAGAGCATGGCATCAGACAGAACTGAGTTGCAAGTTCAGCTTTGGCACTTACTGTGTGACCTTGGGTAAGTCTGTCCTTTCAGTCTGTTTTCTTGTCTCTCTAGTTAAGACAATAGTATCAACCTCCTTGAATGTTGTGTCATTAGGTGAGACAAGGTAAGAAAAGGCTTCTGTCATGGACTCTGCATGCAGCTGGTACTCACCTTGGTGAGGTTTCCCTTCCCTTCTGGGTAGATCACTGTCCATGTATGAGGATCTGAAGAGCACCAGGAAAACCTCCTGCTATCACTGACTCAACAACAAATCTACTACTAGTAATGACAAAAACTAATATTCACAGGGCTTCTAGCATGTGCCAGTTGCTCTTCCAAGTATCTTATAGGTACACTCTCATTTAGACCTCACAACACCCCCACAAGATGGGCAGCATTGTTTTCTCAATATTAAGAACAAGGACAGAGTTGGATTTATGATCAAGTTTTTATGACTCCAAAGTCTGCACTCTTAACAACTATGTTTCATTGTTGACATTTTAAGAGACCTTGATTTATTAGCAAATTTAGACACATCAGCAATGTATGAATATCTTTCAATACATATAAGACATTAGCATTGGAAATTCTTTGGCTAATTTGATAAGTCCCCAAAGTGAGAGAACCTTATCCTCATTTTCATTTGCATTTATTTTGTTACTAACAAGAGTCAACAGTTTTCCATTTATTCTGGTTATTTATGTAGAGAACTATTAGATGTCTGAGTACTTTAACATATCTTTTCTTATTTTGTAATTCTATCATTTAAAAGTTTGTAAGGTAAAAATAAAAATTTCAGACAGGCCATAGACTGAAAGAAAATATTTGCAAAATACTTATCTGAAAAAAGATTGTTATTCATAATATATGGGGAACACTTATTTTTTTAAAAGACTTTTTTTTCTTTTTTTTTAAGATCTTATTTTAATTAATCACTATACCAAACATGGGACTCAAACTCATAACCTTGAGATCAAAAGTCTCATGCTCTACCAGCTGAGCCAGCCAGGCACCCCAAAAATATATGGAGAACTCTTAAAACTCAACTATAAGAAAACAAGCAACCCAATTTAAAAATTGGCAAAAGATCTGACTTGCTATCTATATGTCTTCTTCAATGAGGTGTCTTTCAGATCTTTTGCCAATTTTGAAATTGGGTTGTTTGTTTTGTTATGGTTGAGTTTTAAGAAGACACTTCATTGAAGAAGACATACAGGTAGCAAATAAGCACGTGAAAAGCTGCTCAATATCATTATCATTAAGGAAATGCAACTTAAAAAAAAAAAGAGATACCATTATATAGCTATTAGAATGGCTAAAATCCAAAACACTGATAACACCAAATGCTAGTGAAGATGTGGGACAACATGAACTCTTGTACACTGCAGGCGGGAATGCAAGATGGTACAGACGATTTGGAAGGCAGTTGGGCCGTTTGATACTCTTACTCTAAACTTTACTCTTACCATGTGATCCAATAAAAACATGCTTTAATATTTACCCAAATGAGTTGGAAACTTATGTCCACACAAAACTTTCATGCATGTTTATAATGGCTTTATTCAGAACTGCTAAAACTTGGAAGCAATGATGATATCCTTCAGTAGGCAAAAGGATAAACAAACTGTGGCATATCCATACAATGAAATATTGTAAACGCCCTTTTTAAAAAAAGAGCTATCAAGCCATGAGAAGACATGAAGGAAACTTGTATATTGTTAAGTGAAAAATGTCCATTTCAAAAGGCTACACAATGTATGATTCCAATTACATGACAGTCTGGAAAAAGGCAAAACTATGGAAACAGTAAAAAAAAAAAAAAATCAATTATTGGGCAGCCCAGGTGGCTCAGCAGTTTAGCGCTGCCTTTAGTCCAGGGTGTGATCCTGGAGACCTCGGATGGAGTCCCATGTCGGACCCCTGCATGGAGCCTGCTTCTCCCTCTGCCTGTGTCTCTGCCTCTCTCTCTCTCTCTCTCTCTCTCTCTCTCTCTCTCTGTGTGTGTGTGTGTCTCTCATGAATAAATAAATAAAATCTTTTAAAAAAATCAGTTATTGCCAGGGGGTCAGGAGAAGGAAGGGATGAATTAGGGAGAGCATCAAGGATTTTTAGAGTGGTGAAATCATTGTGTAGAACACTAAAAAGATTTTTTTTTCTCCTAATTGTTAACTCCATCATCCCAACATCATCTACTGACTTTTCTTCCCTCATTTGTGATGCTTTATCATACTCTTAGGTACAATAGGACCTATTTCTGTGTTGGTACCATTACATTTTGAATTACAATTGATCTACTCATCACCCAATAAGTTCATCTTTATTCTTAGCCTTCTATGTCCCTGGTTTGTGTGGTGAACTTTAAAAACAAGTCTATTCCTGGGGCACCTGGCTGGCTCAGTCAGTTGAGCCTCTGGCTCTTGGTTTCAGTTTTCAGGTTATGATCTCAGGGTTGGGCTCCACACTCTGCATAGAGTCTACTTGAGATTCTTTCTGCCTCCTTTCCTTCCCCCACTCCCCCTCCACACACACACTGTCTCAAATTAATAAATAAAATCTTTAAAAACAAACAAATCTATTCTCTTTCAGATCATAGACTGTCAGAGTTGACAGGAACCTAAATACTACAATGCCCGAATGACTCATTTTATGAGGAATTGGGGTATAGAGAGTACACAGGCTAAATTGTGGTCATGCAACTGGTTATAGGAAGAAAGAGGACAAGTTCCCAAGTGTTTTTCACCTATGTCAGAACATAATCTGAATTTAATCTACCAATTTTTCAAACAGTTTAGCCTTAGGAAATTTTAGAGATGTGCTCACTTATTAATTGGGGTATAGTGGGCAAAAGCCTGTGGGAGGCAGGTGCAAACACACCTCAGGAGCTCTAGGAAAGGATAGGATGCTGCAGTTTTATTTGCATGAGACTCTTCTTCCCCAGCTCATACTCAAGGGAATGCATTCCAAGTTCCTGAATGGAGGGAACTGTAAGAAATTGAAAGAGTAAAGCCCCTTGGTCACTAGAACTGAGGATTCCAGAGTAGGCCAATAAGGCACTTCTCCAATTACCAGGCTGGAACAGCATGGGAACAAGACAACAGTAGTCTCAGAAGGGCCAGAGAAAGAGCAGCCACCACAGCAGAAAGAACACAACAGAGGCAAGTCTCCAGAGACTTGAGAATAACAGTGGGAAACTAGCTTCGGGGTCAGAGTCCAAAACTCTTGTCAGGATGCTTACGCAACCTCAAGTGTGAGAGACAGTGGTGCAGGATTGAAAAGTTATGCTTCTAGTATTAAGAGTAGATAGATCCCTCCTTGGAGGAGGACAAGGGGGTTGCTTCCAACCATCTCGGCTTTTCAACCCTAATTACCCACCACTTACTGTAGTATCTTGCTTGTGTGGGAGGCCTTTGAAGTGTTTTTTGTTGTATAGTGCAACTTCCAAGTGTGGTAAGCCACTCCCATTGAGCTAACCTTTCTGGAAAACAGTTCAGTATTTTTAACTCAGAAATTCCTCCTCTAAGGAAATAATCCAGATGACAAAGATTTAGGCACAAACATATTTATTACGGCATATTTATAATACTATACATAAGTATTACACCTAAGTATCCAACAACCGAGCAAAAGTTAAATAAATAATGGTATATCCATTTGATTAAATATCATGCAGCCATGAAAAAATATTATGGTCTTGAAGAATTAGCTGGGAAGTGTTATAAAACAATGTCAGACAAGAGAAGCAGTGTTTATATTTTAGAAGCTCTATCAAGTTTTTTTTTAATTTTTTTTTTTGTTTTTTTTATTTATGATAGTCACACAGAGAGAGAGAGAGGCAGAGACACAGGCAGAGGGAGAAGCAGGCTCCATGCACTGGGAGCCTGACGTGGGATTCGATCCCGGGTCTCCAGGATCGCGCCCTGGGCCAAAGGCAGGCGCCAAACCGCTGCGCCACCCAGGAATCCCAAGTTTTGTTTTGTTTTTTTTTAATAGAAAAACACTTGATGGAAGGGTGCCAAAATGTTAATAGTGGTTGCCTCAGGGAGGCAGGGCCTAGGATTACAATGGAGTTACGCTCTGCCTTTTGTAAAAAACTTTTTGCACTTTCTAAATTGTTTTCAATTATTACATTTAAAGGAGTTTTGTTTTTGTTTTTTTAAACAGCCAGTAAAAGGAGTCAATTAAGAGAAAGCTACCCAATGATTTAGCCTACTCTTGCCATCAGTTTCAAACTGGTAAGATAGAGTTGGTGTATAGAACTTTGCAAACCTGCTTCCTGTATCCTCCACCACCACCCCCTCCAGGTGCTCTCACTCTGAACCACTGGCTATCCACAGCAATGACACACCCCCGATGTTGCAAAGGCGAAAGCACAGGACATCTTGCTTTGGGTGGGAATCTGAATCTCCAGAACAGGGGAGCTTGCACTCTGGATTGGGGAAAGTGAGCACAGAAAGAATTGATGAAAGATGGATAAAAGGAAAAGAGGAAATGTGGCGTTCTGGGACAGAATACTGTGGCTCTCCAAATCCAGAGCTGTGCCTGAAAATGGAGACTCCACCCCAGAGTCAAATTCCCAAGCTTCTCCTAGAAGAGGCTTCACTGCAGGACAGTACAACTGACCATTGAACAACATGAGTTTGAACTACATGGGTCCATTTAGAGGTTGATTTTTTTTCTCATAAATACAGTATTATATACATATTTTCTCTTATGATATTCTTAATAACATTTTTTCTCTGGCTTACTTTATTGTAAGAATTCAGGATTTTACACATATACCATACAAACTATGTTGACTGTTTATATTAGTAATATGGTTTCCAGTCAACAGTAGGCTATTAGTAGTTAAATTTGGAGAAATCAAAAGTTACACATGATTTTTGACTACCCCTAACCCCAGCATTGTTCAAGGGTCAACTGTAGTTGTTTTCTTTGAATGAGAACCTAGACTGCAGAGTTTGAACCTCTGTGCATAGTTAAACGGTTGGGTGGAGAAGATGAAATAGACATTTCTCAAATTTTAGCATACTTAAGAGTCACCAGGGATATTGTTTGAATTGCTGGTTCCTAGGCTCTACCGCCAAAAATTCTGAGTTAACGTGTTTGGGATAGATCCAAGAACACTGTGTTTATCAAGCAGTCCTCACCACCACCACCAAAAAGTTTCAGTGGATCCACCTAGCACAGCTTTAAAAATGTAGACTCTGAATTTGTACGCAAAATGCTGTGTGCACACTTTTCTAGAGAAGGTCCATAACTATCATCAGATTCTCAAGGAGTTCCATAATTTAAGAAGGCTAAGAACCATCCTGATTAAGAAGGCTAAGATACACCCTAGAACCACAAAAACAACTAAGGAGGCTTCGTTCAAGCATCAAGTCAGAGGGGCAAGGGCAAAGTTTAAAAAACAAAAACAAAAAACAGCCCACAGAGCCAAACCATCAGGAAGAGTGAAAGCCAATGGCTGGAGGCCCCTGAGAGATGTGACTAAGCCATTTTCACCTGTAAATCTGGAACACCAACAGCTTATTTTACTTAGCCATAGGCAACTTGGTGCATGGGTGTGTGGCTTAAAGGCACAGGGATCAGAGAGATATGAGCTCCAAGGGAGAGTAATAGGAGGGAAGGTCAGTGGATTTTCCCAGGAAGAAAAATCCCGGGATTGCAGAGGTAAGGGAATAAAAGTGAGTTCACTATTGGGTCTTACAGTCTGGAGTTGAAGCTGCTATACTAAGCTAGAGTCCGGTCAGGTAGGTGTGGTGGGGGTTTATCTGAAGCAGCTGTAGTTGAGACAGGGGCATAGAGGACAGAAGTGGTCACCATGGCCCAAACCACTGGCGTCATTCCCTACACCGTTGGTTATGGTGCATAGAACCAGGCTAAGACTCTCTCATCAGTGAGGGTGAGACTGCAGCCAGGATTGGAGCTCTCCTAGTGCTGGGCCAAGAATGGGCTAGTAGAGGGAGCTGGGGTCCAGCCCATACTCAAGTAGGTGCTCAGAGACTGACTTT